TCTCCTCTCTCTCTCCCCCTCCCTCCCTCCCTCAAAAGCTTTACGTTCACTCTATAGTTATCAATTTCTTTGTAAACTAAAGGCCGCGCGTTATTAACGATCAATGGCAACAAAAGTGTTTGCTTAGCAACTCCTTCCCCGGTCGGGCCCTGGGATAATTATCACCTAAACGTTGCTTCAATCTTAGAGATGAACTTTCTGAAGTACTGCTTTCGATCTCATCTTAAAGAACAGAAAGAAATCAGAAAAGGCTGTTTTTACCTACCGAATAAGTTGAGAAAATATAAAGAAGTCATGTGTTTTGAAAAAAGATGGCAGTTTTGTTTTTAAATCAGTCTCGTAGGCATCGTGATTTTTACTTATATAGTGCAGTCAAAAATTCATGGCGCAACTTATTGTCAAAAATCTCAACTATCGAATATAGGTTCTCCAATTTTTGCACACTGACTTGTATCAACTTGTACAAACAGGTCAATATTTTTTACAAACACCTGCTAGCTGTATTCTAGAAAATTCCTTAATAAACACTCATACCAAAATACAAGTGGGTGGTTTCTACAGATTTGTAAAAGGTTTACAGATGGGGCAATATCGCTTTTAAAAGTAAGTTCGTCATTTTTTTCTAATCGTGACACTTTCTTTATTGAACGCATGTTTTGAGAACCTTTTGAATAATGTGTTCACCGTAAAATGAATTTCTTGTGACAAGTTTTGCCACTAAAAAATCCATATGCGTGTTCAAAATTTGTGTGAACAATCCCATTTTCACCATGACGGTGATTTATAGTATTTTATTTTAATCTAAGAAGAACCGTTAAAAAAAATCTAGCCTCAAATGTTAGATCTATTGAAAAATATAATTAAGTTAAGACAAATTGATGAAACAAACTGCTATGCAAAGTTTGTGTGCCATTGATTCACTTGTTAAAGAGATAGTTGAAGATAAGTTACGCCACTAATTTTTGACCGCACTATAGGTTATTATTAAACTATTTGACACTTCGGACAAGTACGAGACGAATTTTATTGTAAGAAATTTTGAATCGAATTACCTGAGATTTTATGTAATGAGCTATAAGGTATGTGTATTTAATTTTCATGATATCTCAGACCCTTCTAGTATCAGGTTAAAAGGAAACTGTTTGCCCTAAAGATGAGAATTTAGTGTATTAATTTATATTCACATCATACAAAACGTAACCGTTTAAATACTAAACCTATATAATATGACACCTTGAATTCTCTACCCCGTAATAATAAAAATAGATAATAGACAGCATTTGTATAGCGTAAATACCCGCCCAACAGTTCAGTAAGTTCTATGCGCTTCAGAATCTGTACTATTACCCCAGCAGACCTGAGAGCATTCTGAAACAACCCCTACTTCCTGGGAAACATACAGTGCAAGCGGCCATTTATAGGCGCTAAAATTCTAACATACTGACAAGATCCTTCGCTGTCTATTGCGGGGTACCCATTCCCACCTGGGTGAAGTGAGGAAAATTCATGGTAAGTACTTTTCCCAAGGACACAACGTAGGACCCGCTGCTCGAACTCCCGAACCCGCAACCTCACGATTACGAGTCCGGTAGCGTAACCACTAGGCCACCAACTGTACGAAGTCGTCATCTGTCTACAAGACAAGAAATAGAAAGAGACATCATTATCCAAGCTGACAGTTACATAATATACTGGCACTCTCTTAAAGACGTTTCCCAAGCGTTTAGTCCTTTGTATTGTGATACATGTATAAATAATGTACTAACGTGTTTTATCATTAAACTTTTTAGACATTAATTAAGATCAGTATAGGGCGGACCTGAAACACTACTCCCGCTTTTTTTTCGGACAAAACAGATTCTGTATGTGGCATTTTCGGAGAAGAGTCTGAAAACTAGGTTTTTTACACTGTACTTTTTGACGTTTGAAAAGATAAAAAGATGGATGCTGCACTAGATAACACCACAGCTGATGTTGCTGGTGTTGAAGTACCTGTACAGGTGAAAGGATTAGGACTGATAGACTACAGCACCACGGTACTTCTCACAAATATCTTCTTGTATGGAATCTGGATTCCGATAGTTTTCAGTGGAATCGTCACGAACATTATCAACACAGTTGTGTTTGTCCGCATCGGAATGAAAGACATTGTGAACGTATCGTTTCTCGCTCTGTCCATGTCCGATTTGCTCTATTTGTCTTTTACCATGATCTATCTCATTCCTAGCACGCTGACGTTTTCGGGCCGGCCAATCAAGTGGCTTCAGAGCCCTTATACGCTCAACTCCTACATCGTCTGGTACGCCATTTTGTTCTACGACCTTTCCATCTTGATCACGACCTACATAGCCGTAGCCAGGTGTTGCTGCGTCACCATGGCTCTCAAGTTCAGGAGTTTCTTCACTGTGTCTAGGACTTACACAGCCCTGGGTGTTCTTTCCGTCGTATGCCTGGCTCTCCACATCCCGATGATCGCTTCACAGAATCTGCAGTGGGAGACGGACAAGAAAACAAACACGACAAAGCTGACTCTAGTGCGCTCCGATGCATTTCCAGACGTCCAGTACTTCCATGACATCACAAACAGAAATGTGGTTCCCTATACATGTTTAGCCATCAATATTATATGTCTTGCAGCTCTCACCTTTACTCTCAAATCAGCAACTCAGATCCGAAAAAAGATGGCTATGAGCGCTTCCACCGATGGCAACACTGGAAAACGTGACTCGAAGCTCAGTGCTAAGGACATCCAAGTGGTCAAAGCTGTGTCGCTTGTGGCCTCCATGTTTGTGTTTTGCTCCCTTCTCACCACCATAAAAGCTTTGGTCCGTCGTGCGATCCCAGACTACGACGGTCGTGGTCAGTATAGAAATCTGTTCCAGCTCACCACGGGTGTGGTGACTATCTTCACTTACCTGAACGCCACCGTCAATATAATAGTCTACTATCCCTTTAACACCAAGTACAGACAATCCCTGACAGAGATTTTCTGCAAGGGAAAGAAACCTGAAGAACCGAAATAAATTATGGAACCTCGAATACAGAAAGGCATCTGATTCCTATTACTTTTTTTCCAACTTTTTAAAGCTCGCAATACTTCTAAGAATAACCACACTTACACTTCAGATGGCCATCTTCGCTTCAAACCCAACGGGTTTAAAGATAAACTTTCTTATCCGAAATATTCGTTTTGATAATGGGAACTGGGTAATTTGGGAACACAGTTTGTCCTCAATTCTGTCCTCCTTATCTTTGTTGCATTCATAATTCATAGGCGGCAGCTACCTCTGCCTTGTTAATCTGTCTGTTATCTTAAAAGCATCTGCAATGGGGTAGACTATTATGAGATGTTAAACTTCATTAATATTTAGACTTTCAATGTTCACTTGTACACGGCAGGGTTGTTAAGATTTAATATCCGTGGCAAACAACACGTATACGCACTAACGATTTATAAGGTCAATAGTCTTTTGCAGCAAGCAGTGTTTAAAACGGCTTAAAAGTAAAAATAAAAAGTAAATGTCTTACTTCATGTAGAGGTATGTGTACCGATGAAACCAGTGAAAAATATGACTCAAAACTTAATGCTTGGATCCAAGAGGTCAAAGTGGTTTCTAGTGACTGCTATGTTTGTTTTATTTGATCAATTTTCCCAACCAATGTTTTATTCATAAACACACAAAATTGTTTTCAGTTTTTGAAGGGAATAAAGTTAGTGGTAGAATACGAAAAACCAAACGATCTATATTACTATGCCACTATAAACATTCAGGAAAGCAAGGAATTAAATAATTTCAAATATTAAGTACTTGCTGATAATCGGGAACTTTAGCAGCATGTCGTAGGCCTGTTTAATGAAGTCTTTTAGGCAAATTATGCGGGTGAATCGGTTCAATACATTTAGTGTTTATAACGCTCACATTAAAGGGAAGACATGCATGCTTTTTCAAAATTAGTTATGCACAGACTTAGCAGTCATTTATGGGCATTTTATGTGACTTTGGGGGTCTTGTACATTATTCAGGTAGTCAGATGGACTCTACTTCTGCGCTCTGGGCAAATTTTTACATTTTAGAGTGTCAGGACCCCCTATAAAGCGCTATTTTAGTGCATGCGTCATTTTCTTATCTATAAAGCCACAGAGTTAATATTTTCACAATGTAAACTCAGTATAGGTAGTTGCAACCTGTTAGAGGATTTTTTTATATCGCTTATAAAAAGCGAGATATTCCGGATATTAACATATGACTTGCTAAAACACCGAAATTTTCCTTAAAATCACTTCCTCTGAGGCATACAGAACGTAGAAATATGAACAATATTCCATAAATTAAAAAAAAAGCCCCTAACAGGTTACAACTACGCCAATTGCCCGCACCCTGAAGCCAAATTTCAAGTGAATCCTATAAACAGCCTCCGAAATCTCGCTGCACTAAAACCCCATACCCCTAAAAATATCGCGTTTTAGAGAAACGCACCCCCGTCCCCCGCAAACCCTAAAAAATGTGTTCGCACTGTTATTACTTTGTCACAACCGCAGACAGATCAGTGCAGTGTTCGTCTTTTTCAGTATCTACCCCTGCACTATACCGATCACCCAGTTCGGAATAGAATTATGTACAATGAAACAAGAGTACAGTTTGGAATGATGAGATACTATAATTCATTTTATGAGAAAAAGTCAAGGAAAGGGGAACAAAGTCACCCCAAAGCTTGAAACAGTGCAATCATAGTCGTACTTTATTCAGAATAGTAAAACGATAAGATAAACATTTCTAAACACTGAAGTACATTTCTCAACAGGTGGAATTTTCAGGATAAAATTTGTGTAAGTTGGGAGGCGTATTTCTTTTTTCCCAAAATATAATTATTTCATCTTGAACTTCCACCCAAAAGTAACCGGCTTTGACTTTAGACAGTCACTGAAACCAAACAAAAAGCCCCATTTCTGTTAGCTGAGGTAGACGACTGCTAACATACACGATAATGCCGACAGTTTAAACTTAAAACCCGATTCAGGTCCGATCACTTGTGTATGATTGGTATTGATTAACAAAGCATTTTGCATTGCAAGCTGAAGATGGGAGTTCGATTCCGTATCAGAAAAATGATTTCATCGAGTATCTCCGCACTTGCTGAAACTTTTGGGACGAAAGAGAGTCCCGAAGTCTTGACAGCGGTGATACAAGTAGGATGTCAAGCAGGAGTGGGACTGTCAGACAATCATTGCCAATCATATTTTTGGTAGTAGCTAGCTTTTTATAAATGATCTGTTTGTATGTTGCATTTTGGACGTTTTCTCATTGTTGACACGGTGAGGAACACATGTTGTGGAATAAAAACTGTACTTTTTGCTAGTCAACAATAACGCCAATAACGAACTGCGTATAAATATATAATGATTAGAATGGAGAGGATTACGGATTGTGAACAAGAAAAAGAGAAACAGTGAACCTCGCGTTCAATGCAGCGAATCTATCCAGTTCAACTTCCAAGATTATCGGCCACCAAAGCGTTCAATTTCAGATGCCTGTGCCAAGCTACCAAGGTTAATGCTGGCTTATCTTGGGATCCTTTTGACTTTTTGAATCAAAAGCGGTTAAAATTTTATAGAGAGATACTTTCCAAAGTTTGGTTCCAAATTAACCACCACCTAAGTTTAGCATTCAACAACAGGTGAACATGTCTACCGTCAGCAATATTTGGTTCCCGAACTTGATCAGTAATAAATGGAAATAGGTAAAATCGTTGGATAACACATACCGAGATAACACCAAATCTCTCTAGTTAGGTGTGCTCCTTCTTTCCTATCAAATATCTATCATTCTTATCTCTCCTCTTTCTTTTTTGTGTTTGAAAGTGTGCACATACAACATACTCGAGAGGAGACACACACACACACGCATACACACACACACACACACACACACACACACACACACACACA